GATTCCTGTGTACTTCTCCCTGAGGTGTGAGCCTTGAATCATACAAGTGCAAAGAAAGGGTTGAATAGGCAGTTGAAATTATTTTCAGTTTGACTTGTAACATTTTGGAGCCGTATTTTGATCTCGGAAGTTACATTTGAACAGTTTAACCAGGGATGGTACGTACATACCTATCCTTTGCAAGTTGTTGAAGTGAAACTACCGTATGAGCTGTACGACTGTAGTAGTTTTGAGAGGTGTCCTTATGAACAACATCTGCATTGGGTTCCTTACCAGAAATGAAACCAACTTCTTTCTTTCCCATATCTAAATGATACTACTTGTGATGCAAGTCATGAGTTTGTAAACTCAATTGTTTGTAAACTCACTTGTCCCCTGTACTTACTCCTAAGCTGCTTTATGCACAGTAGCTAAGGAGCTCTATCCACAGTCTTTTACCAAGTATTTTACTAAGCCTTTCTTTCAGTTCTGAGGTAGTGGTTTGTGCTCTTACCTCTCCTAAATGTGCCAGTCTCGACCAGCTGCATCTGTGATATGCTTCTTGTTCTCAGATTGGTTGGAAGTTTGAGCTGATGGGTAGTTTCCATTAATGTACTTAGCAGTGCAGTTCTGTAGGTAGCAATTTTGGTGAAGCTGGGTATTCTGGAGACTTGCTGTCATTGTTGGTAAAGGAGCTGTTTTATTCAGAAGGACCTTTTCTGATTCTTCTGTGATGATGTATTTTGTGATTAGAGAAAACCACTGGTTTCTGTGACTGAGCAAAATCCATTCTTACATAGTGGAAAGAGTTAAATTGCTTTTCTTGTTCTTTAAAGCAGCAGTGACTAGTTTAAAGTAATAATCCGAAACAGCTCGATGTTTGTGTGTGTAAAAGCTGATATGGGGATATACTTCAATGAACAGAACTGACTAGGGGAAATGCAGGTTGAAGTTGTGAAGCATGGCTTTTCACAAAGTAGCCAGAGTTCAGAGCATCCCTCCTTCCTCCTGCCAGTAATTGTGCTGCCTTTGAGGTGTGGCTGCTCTTGCTTGTGTTTCTGCAGCAAGAGATGCTTTGTGCTGCATATCTATATATTTCTGTGTCTTCTCAGACTCTGCCAAACAGCACAAGCCAGACTCTAAGTCTTCTTCATATGAGCTCAGACTCTCCAGCCCCTAGCTCAACTCTTCTTGGAGCCAATAAGCGGTGACAGTGAGGCGTATAGCTTCTCCTTGGGCTGGCCAATGCCACTAACCCAATTGATATTGTGTTAGAAATCGATTTCCTGGTAAGGGAGTCCTTCGAGTCCTATCAGAGAGGCACCTCAATCACTTAATAGTTTGAATACTGCATCTATCACTTGCCTGTTTTATCCCCTGTCTTTGAAGAGAATTTGGTAGTGTATTTCTTCTTTGCAGTCCTCCTGTGCCCAGCCCCTGTCCTGCCCATGTTGACCCATTTGTGAGTCCGCAAGAGTTTTGCTCTGAAGTGCTCAAAGAGTTCACCAGAGCATCACTTGTGCTTGTTGTGCAACACAGCCACAGCTGTTTCTTGGCCTCTGGGACCCTGTGTCCCTGCAGATGGAAAGGCAGTACTTGCCTCAGTGGATGTTTAATATTTTCTTATGTTAGAAACAATTGTTGAACAGATTATGAGCTGTCTCCAAGCAGCACATTGTCAGGGACGTCAGTGCAATTGAATGCCAATGATAGCAATGAGAACAGCCCTTCTACCTCCGGGTTATCTGTCAGAATAAACTATGCAAAGGAGTTATAAGTGGGAGTTATGCTGTGTCTCTCCAGTGTTTGAAGAGGTGAAACACCATTGTCTGAGGAGAAATGCAGGTGTGTTCTCCACATAGGCACAGAATCTGCTTTGTAATGTTTTGTCTTTAAAGAGGTCTGGAAAAGATGAATGAGCAGCTGTAAAGAATTTCTTATTTGTTTGTGAGACCCCTCCTTTACTGTGTAGTGCAAGAAACAACGTCTCCAGAGGCTTTCAGCTACATGGAGAGTTCCCGACTGCTGGTCTCTGCAGGGCGTTTTTTGGGTGTCAGTCCAAACTGAGGATGAGCACTAAAAGCTCAGTGATGGAGCTGGAGGAACAAACTGAAAGCCTAGTCAGGGTTATGGTGTTAACTCCAGGGAATGGGTCCAGCTTCAGTATTTTCTTTCCGTGTGACTGGGGCAAAGCTATGTATCGTAGACAATAGGTCAAGGTGCATGAAGTGGGAACTTGCTAGAAGTCAGACTTACAGAGCAGTGGGATCCTGAAAACCTCTGACTTGCTCCTTGAATTGATAGATGCTCGTGTTTTCATCATTGAAGCTTTGAAAGTACATAAAGATCTACAAGTGTGGTTATAACTCATCTCCCAACCCAACCTGGATTATCAGATGTAGCATTTTACCCCCACCTCCATGAGAGGGCTCATTACACTAATAGTACTGCCTGATAGGAATGTGTAAAATACAACAACCAATCCACGCTGACTTGAAGACATTGTATGTCGAGGGTGTTGGCAGTGGCTTGATAAGTAGAAAAGTCATTCAGGAGCTGAAATGAAAACTGAGCTTTCGTGGTGCTCAGGGGTAGCTCCTTAGAGGATGCTCAAGTTGGATATTAGGAAAAATTTCTTCTCTGAAAAAGTGGTCATGTGCTGGAATGGGCTGCCTGGAGAGGTGGTTGAGTCACTGTCTCTGGAGGTGTTCGTGAAACTTTTAGATGTGGTACTGAGGGACATGTTTTAGTGGGGAAGTATTGGTGGTATGTCGGACTGGATGATCTCGGATGTGTTTAGCAACCTTAGTGATTCTATGATTCACATCTCCTAGGATAAACACCCAAATGACAAAGCTGTCAGGAGGGAGGGAAATATGTGTATGTTTTTTAAGCATCCTTTGGAAGCTCTTCTGGTCAAAAAAAAAAATCAGCTTTCATTAACCCAAGAAGTAGGCAAGTGAGAATATGATTTTTTTAGCTCCAGTACTAATGGCTAAGAACCTGTGGTATTGTATGCGAGAGTTGGGCTTACGTTTGAATTACTAGGCATAGTAAGAGGAAAATCCCCAGCTTTAAAATAAAAATATACCTTTTTTTTTTTTTTTTTTTAAATGATGCTTTCTATAGCATAGCTTGGGCAGGGTGCTGTTTGCTGTGCTAATGTTTCTTACTTCTATCACCAGCACTACTCCTAGAGCTTCTATCTCTTAGATCATTGAGAGCTGGGCTTGTAGCAGTCTTGCCTTTCAGTGCTTACATCCCTATGTGGGCTTGGTGCCTTGCTTTTACCTGTAAAAAGAGGATAAGATAAGAACACTATCCACCATGGGTGCTTTGGAGGTGTAGGTAAAAGTAACATCTGAGCAGTGACAGCCATCAGAAAAGTTCACTATATAGCTTTTAGTGAAAAAACCTGACATTATTTATCTGAAGAAAATGTTGAGGTTTAAGTATGGAAAGAAAGTTCATAGAAGTTTTTCAATGAGTTCTTGAAGAACTGAAGGGTGCTGTTACCTTTTCAGAAGGGGAAGATGGTGAGAAGGAATAAATGCTTGAAATAACACAGTCCACATCAGGGCAGAACGCGACTTGAATTTCATATTTGCATACTTATTGTAATTTCTGATGAAAATATAAAAATATGTTAAGACAGTGCAATCCACTGTTTATAATAGACACTCAAAAGCACTTGCTTTAGCAAAGAGAAATGACTTGGCTTACTTATTCATAGGAAGGGTAAAAGACATGTATTGTTTCTGGAACAAAGTACTTGAACCAAGTAAAAACCATGGTATTTAGAAGAGACTGAGAAACAAAGCAGTTAAAATGTCCTGAAGTTATACTACTGGTATATTTCTTTCCAAAGAGTGTATAAAGATACACTTAATCTTGCTCATGGGATTGGGCAATGGATTTAGATAGCTACAGGAATGTTTTATTTAAACCCACTTGAAGTTTGCAAAAGGACAAAAAATTTTGAAACGGGAAGTTAAAAGAAACCAAAGCCTTTGCAAGTAATAGGTAAAATGTCCTGTTTGTGTCTCTTGGTTGCAGGTACCATTAAGGACTGCTATGTATATTTAAGCAGCTGGTGTTTAGATCCTGTAAAGGAGACAGCATAGTGAACTCCCTTAGAGCGTCCCCTTCAACATGGATGCCCTTATCTCATGTAGCTGCCTAAGACTTCCTCTAACTTCTAAGCCAGAGAGTCTTTGAAGCTGTGAAAAGGAGCCACTGGACTCTCCCATCTATCAGTGTCCTGTCATAAGCATTGCTCTCTGTCTTGGCATTTACACAGATAGCTGAAGGCCAAAGAGCCAAAACAGCAGAGAAACAAGGCCTAGGCCTGGCATTAAGTATATTCTTTGTTCAAATGAGTTATTAATCATAGAAATATAGCGTGCAAAGATCCAACGAGAATGGAAGTTTGAATCCCATTCAATTTTTTTCTTAGTGGTTGAAACTCATTCTAGCTTGTACAGTGAACAGAAACATCTTTCTGCTGGTGTAAGTACTAAAACTAGTTGTCTGGTGTCTTGTTTGTAGAGCTGTGCCATACACGTCACACAGGGAGTAATAGAACTTGTGTGGTCAGCAGTGAAGGCTGTATCGACAGGAGCCACTGAGTCTGTGTTCAGATGAGAAATAACTGCTCAAGCTGTTTTGGCTGTCTTGAGGCTTCTCATCCAAATTGAGTGTCATGGTGGATCAGTATGTGCGGCACAGAGGGAAGCAGCTTAATGAATCTGTCCTTAGTCAAGGAATGAATTTTACCTGCTTAACATTGTGAGTTTCATTTGTGTAAAACCACCTTCTTCAGCTTTGCCTGAGTAATTAAATAAATTTATCTTAAAATCTTAAACTAACAAGTTACTTAAAACAGGGAATACTCCTGTTGTCTACTGGGAAAAAACTGCAGGAATGGAGGCACTGCAGTTTGGATGAGTATTTGGATAAGTATTTCTGCTGATGCAACCATAGTCTTGTCTGATGTCTAACTGATGTGTTCTTTCAAACAGATACTAATTTTGTCTTGGGCAATGCCCAGATAGTGGATTGGCCTATTGTGTACAGCAACGATGGATTTTGCAAGCTATCAGGATATCACAGAGCAGAAGTTATGCAAAAAAGCAGCACCTGCAGGTATTTGAGAACAGATTTATTTTTTGTTAAATAGCTTGTAGTGTTGTGCTTGTTGCTTGAGGAAAACAGTAGTCTGTTCATCTCCATTCTCTCTTTTGTCTCTTGGGGCTGCTACTGTCAAATTTGCTTTCCAGGTGAAATAAAATCAAAGAAGAGCTGTTTCTAAATAGGTCCTTTTCGCACTGTGAATAAATGGTGTAGTGTCTTTGTTTAGTATCTGACTTGAATTCCTTGCTTTCTTTGCAGTTTTATGTATGGAGAGCTGACAGACAAAGATACAATTGACAAAGTCCGGCAGACGTTTGAGAACTATGAGATGAATTCCTTTGAAATCCTGATGTACAAGAAGAACAGTAAGTAGTTGTTTGTTCATTAATGTAGGTGTGTAGAACTATTTTAAATCATTACATAATTTGCAAGTCTGCCATCCTGGAGTACTGTATTTTATGTAGGGTTAAATAAGCCCTGGTTCTGCTGACAGATCTACAAGACAGAGAGGAGAACATTAGAGATGAAAGCCACTGGTGGAAGCAGAGGAAGCTCTAATTCATTCTGATGTTTAGAGCAATTTGTGTGTGATGCCAACGTTCTTTTCATTAGCAATGTTAGTGCCCAAGCTAGGTTTATGCAAATGTTTTTTCTTACAGAGAATGCTTTTAATTTTTTTTTCTTTTTAAATTTGATGTAGCAAAAACAGGATTTAGATGTAGCTTTATAGTAAAAAGATCCAGTCTTTTGTTTTAGAAGCTAGACTACTTCCTAATATCTTGGACAAAACTGCTTCTTAATCATAGTATGATTATTTTTTCTTTTCTTGCTAGAAATTTTAGTCTGTCTGTAACTCTGTGTGTTAGCAGATGAACTACTTGCCCAAAATTTGTTGCTCTACCCTGAGTGTGTCATGGCACAGCTATTTTTATTTACCAAAAGTAACCTGAAGTGCAGATACACTGATGTCTTCAGATTGACCAAGTGTCAAGTAAAAAGACTGTTCTGTCACTTCCATTTTGTGTTTAACAATTTTGCCTTCTAACCGTGGAAGAAAGGTACCTTGCAGAAGCATCCTGTGAGTAGCTTCTTCCCATTACAGCTATGATGAGTGCTTCGATCAATTCTGCACTGGTGGGCATGGGGAGCTCTAAACACAAAGCATAACATGAGCTGCTATGATGCAATTTTTTGACAGTTAACCTTAATGCTGATTTATTTTTCATTAGAAGGGCCAGCTTTCTGGGAAAAGGTGATCATCCTACATTTATGTGTGTAGCCATTGCTGTTCCTGTTGAAATGACCCACTAGTTCTGGCTGTTGGAGCTTGGAAAGAGAACAGGGACTTAAGAAGAGCTAAAAAGATAATAGTTGTGTGCTAGAGCTGATGTGTGGAGCTGCTTGTTTTATATCAGAATTTGTCCTTGTTAGAATTGGTGGTGCCAAAGTACATGGAATTGGTTTTTGTCAGTGCTTCGGGGGGGAAGAAAAAACCTCTTTAAGAGATTTTTTTGTATTCATTTCTCTCTAGTCTTTTTCATTTCTTTTTAGCCTGTTCAAAGCATCATGACCTCTGACATGATGCTGTTGCTCAGGGCCTTACTGGAGCACAACTTTGCTGTGCTAGAGAAGCTTCATGTGCTGTCTGGATGAGGCTTTGTGCTTCATGCCTTCTGGTGTTATCTGCCTCCAATGTTTGCCTATTTCTTAAAGATGATTTCAGTTCCTAGCTCGGTTAGTGACCACAGGGACATGTGCAGCTTATCTCTGTGCATCTAAAGCCAAGTAAATAAACTGTGGTTTGGGATCTAGGATGGTGTGGAAGTTTCTCTTAGTTAACAGCAATTTGGCACCAAGAGGCTCTGCAGCTACTCTTCTGTCATCACTGCAGCATATGGCCTGTAGTACAGCCTGGGGCCTCTCTGTCTTTCATGCAGATTTAAAGCAAGGTAACTGTGGAGTGAGGAATGCTTCCTGCCCTGCTGTGCAGTTCCCCTGAGGAGAGGCAGCCTAGAACAAAGTCCAGCTGTGCAGAAGTTGTGTTATGCGACATGCCAAAAAGCAAGGCTGCAATGGTTCTTCTGTGCTCATGGAGGGTCACAGTCATGGGAAAAAGCACAGAGCTTACTTTTGAGTTTAACAAAACACAGTGCTCTTATGTTTGTTGGATTTGTAGCTTTAAAGGTACCTTAACTACTGTTAGGGAAACTGCCTAAAAGCACTAGAGGGCTGTGACTGAGAAATACAAAAAAATGAAAGTCCCTGTGGCTTATTCTGAGAAAAATCTCATCATGGAAAATATTGTCTTGTGTTCCAGTCATTTAACGCTCGGACTGCTGCCTCTGTTGTTCTTGCAGTCGCCTAACCTCTACCTAGGACAAGCATTTTTGACATTTTTGTACTGAGTTCCAATGTTTACATGGTTGTGCTAAACAAATATGCCATCAGGATGATGGAAGGTACAGTATGTCCACAAGTTTCATTGAAGCTCACTCTAAAAGCAACATAGGCTGTATTATTCAAAGGAAGGATGCAGTTTTCTGTCTTCATTTTTGCATTTGTGGATATTCTCTATTCTGGTCTCCTGTCTCTGTCTAGTCCTCCTCCTCTGCCCAATAGTGATTATCCCCACTCTTTTGAGAACTTAAAGTTAAGATGCAATGCAGGTTTGATGGGTCCTTGTGTTTGATAAGCCAGGCCCTTGATTTACTTAGCAGAAATGTGATGATTGCTTTTATTCTCTAGACAAATTTCTTCCTAGAAATGTAGAGCTCCTTCAGGATAATTGGAGGCAATTGTAGCAAGCAGGTGAACAGGCACCAAATTTTTGTCGTTGTTGCTCTGGTGCCATTCCATTGCAGTCAGTGGCAGTTCATGATCATTCCTGGAAGGAGGCACAGTGAAAGTTTTCTTTAATCTAGACAGCAAAACAACAACACATACATTGACAATAATTTCATGTGAGAGCTTCAGTTCCATTGTTTGATTAAATGTGAGTGTCCAGCAATGCTGGTAGTATTGTTTATGTAATGGGAAAATGAAAACAACTCTAAATCTCAATGAAATCAGTGGAGTTCTGCTAATTACCCTAAGGAGGGATACAGGCTGATATTTTAGACAACGTTTTGCACCTAATCTCGGTCACATCTTAGCTGATTTGAACTGATGCAACTTTAAAAGTCTCATTTCTCAGGAGACTTTTAAAGTCATTTGTTTGGCTGTTATTCTTTACACTAAGCCTGATAAATAAAAACGTCTCAGTAAATTAAACTTAGACTTGTTTCCTACAAGCAGTGCCAAAGCAGGCTTCTTCTAGATGTACTTGCTGCCATTAGTGCTAAAGTATATTTTTGCGTGTGCGCAAATTTATTTGCTTCCACCTGCCTCTGAAGAAGTGATGCCTGTTAGAAATATAACTCCCTTCCCTATGCTGTATTTAATCATGCTTCTGTGGAAGAGCATCAGAAGTGGGCTAAGAGCTAAATGGAATACAGACTTGAATAGCAGAGCAGGCTGATGAAAAAGAACATTTCATAGCTAATGTACTGGACTCTTGTCTTAATTTCCAGCTATGCAGGAGAGTCTGTGAAACTATGAACTGCGTACAGACTTCAGGAGGTCTCTGTTTGGGTAAAGGTGTTCGCAGTGCAGTGGTGCTGCAGAGCCAGCTCTTGGGTTTTTTTTTTTTTTTCTTTTTTTTTTCTCCCTCAGGGATTTTCTTTTAGAGAAAGGTGAGGCCAGTGGAAGCAGCATCCAAGGGATGAGCCATAGGTAATTCTTTTGCAAATTGCATATTGGTTCTGGTAAGCAGCGGCTCATAATATATGTACCTTGGAAAGTCCCAGAAGCTGGGCCTTGCTCCCTATTTGTACTGGGATTCATTCTCTGGTTTTCTGAGTGCTTGAATACTTAATACATTGAATAACATGAAGATTTGTGGGTTTCTGTGTATTTAATTTTTAAACATACCTTCCCTCCCCCCACCCTTGGACACTCATAGATGTTAAAGTATAATAAATAAGCCCAAAATAGTGATGTAGCAGATTTTGCCTGCGCTTGTTTCTGGGACCAGTGCTTTCTGCAGAGGTAGAAAATAAAAATGTCGGAATGAAAAACAACAAAACAACTCTACCCATGCTAATTTATAAAGAGCAAAATTCACTTTGGGGATGATTGCCTACTGCTAGGAAAGGGTTTCTCATAACTTATATTGGTTTAAACGATTTAAAATTATGTGTGCTGAGACTGTAGTGTCTGCAGATGGATACTTTTGGTATATAACTGCTGAATTAAATCACTGCATAGGTCCGGAAGCAGGAATGAGGGAGTCCTTGGAAACTGGCATGTATCCTTCTGAGCCTGCCACTGAAATCTATCTCCATACTTGTCAAGCATTATGCACGCCTGTATCTTCTCTTCTGTGAAATCCATCTACATGAGTTCAGTTACCCTCAGGAAGGTCAAACCAAAGTATTTTGGATTCATAAAACTGATGTTTTCCATTGACTTCAAAGACTTCAAACATGTTACAAAACAAGACCTGCTGTCATTACCTCAAACATATGCAGTGCAATGAAGCTTTCCAATAGTACTCTTTATATTTTATTAAGAATTATTAAATGTTTTACATGGGGTAAATGGAAAGAAGATTTCAAACTTCCCTGTGTCGTACCCTCCTTTATAACCACTATCTGATCTTGATTTCTCTGAGGAACAGGTAAACCGTATCAGCACCATGCAGCAGTGTGTGCTCTGAACATTTTAAACTGTTTGTTTCAGAGTCATAGGGTAACTTTGCATAGAAGCCTCACATTTGAGGACTGAAACTGATTTTCTTTGTCTTAGCACGTAAGAGTCTGACCGTTAGAAGCGTTACATGCCAGAACATAGCAGCCCCGGGTACAGAAACCATGAAGACAGTATCTTTTTTAAAGTGATGGAAATGTAATGTCTGCTGTTATTGGCACAGGGTGGTGAGCTTCTATGTACTGAGCTGGTTTGGCCTCATTCAGTGCACACTCTCTACTAAAAAGCAGAGTCTATGAAAAGAATTGCTATTAATCTTGCAAGTGCCTAAGACTCCTCTGTGCTTCTAATTTAAAAGCTGTGTGAGTACAGTGACTTCCCAAATTCTTCCTAAACAACTTGTGTGCTAATTAGATATAGGACAAACTATTTGGTCTATGTGTGATAGAAGGAAGCAATCTCATAAAGTTTTGGGCATAAGTGAAACTCCAAAAGGGGTGACTGTAGTGGTCATTTGTGCTGTGTATGTAACTGAAGTTCTGCTGTCCACATCACTGCATGGAGCAATTGCTGGAGACGCAGCACATCTTTCTAGCCTTTTCATTTCCCTACTGCTTGACTGTTTATGTCCAGGGCAGTTGTTGATAACCACTTGGTTGAAACACAAAGTACTACAGAGGTTGGACTGCTTTGAGGAGACTTGCCCTTACTTGAAGTAACAATCGTGAAGGCATCAGCTGAATAACCAATGTTCTTTTATTTCATCGTTCTACTTTATGGAAAGAAAAAGTGACTATTTCAGTTTTATTTAAACAATTTGCTTTCTGTAGTTTTGAAAAACAGGTGGTAAATTGACCTGTTTAAATGGGTTATGATGTAGGGCAAGAGCATGTTTAGGGTAATCATTTTGGTTTTCATTATGGTCTATTTTTGGTTGACAAGAGAGAAAACAGGAGAGGAGGGTTATCAGTATGCTCACAGGAAGCAGCAGGAATGCACCTTTAACGCCTTATTCACTTTCACGCTAGAGTTTCTGAAGGACCTCAAAGTCAAATCACATGTTAAATGCTGATGTTCCTGGCAGGGGGTGAACATGTCACTGTTGAAATACATAGGACTGGAAGGGAGGAGAGGGAAGTGAGAGTTGTATTTGTCTTACAGATGGGAAATGGTAAGATGTGGAGACATTTACTGTGTGTTAATCTGGAGGAGATCTGGGACCTGAATCATGTCTCTTAAAATAGTCTTGTCTTCAAGGCAACGTCTTAAGTCCTGTGCTCAGGCAATAAGAGCTGTATCAGTTAATTCTGGAATTAGCTATGTAACTTTTGTACCACAAGGTAGGCTGGTGCTACAGGCTACTGTCAGAAGTTTGTTGTAGAATTTAATCTCTTACCATTTGTTCTCACAGCTTTTCTACAAGCTTTGAAGTGACGTTCCTTTTCTAGCAGGATTGGTCCTATGCCACTAGACAAACTCTGGATTCTTTCACTGTCGATTCCAAATCTCACAGAAGCCAACATGGCTCACAAGTGTTTACTTCTTTGTTTGTGCATTGGCATTCTCATTGAACTTTACAGTGAGAGGTTTTGCCAGAACTGAACACAAAATGTAAATGAAAGTAGATGTATTGTTGGAAACGCTGGTAAACAGTCTCTGAGTGGCTGTACATCAACACACACAGGAGGCATAAGGGGAAGTTACTCTTGTTTTGCTATCAGAGCTCTGTAACACATACTTCAGTTTCTCTCACTGCCTGCACAGCACACAGACTGAATCTGAAAATCCCATTTTTCATTAGAATGGCCTGATCTGTGCCTCCTGCTAGTAGTGATTGTCTGGCTGAGCAGGGACATCCGCTTTGACACCAAGAGTATGAAGGCTGCCTGAAGGAGGTTGAAATTCTGGTTTCCGACCTGATTTATAACTGGTTTATACTTTAAGCTTTCCTGTTTAATAGTTAAATAAACTGTTTAATGTTTAAAAAAGTAAAATTCTTTTGATAATTAAACCAGTATGCAGGAAAAAAGCTGAGTAGAGCCACATCTTGGCTAAACCTCTCAGTGTGTTCCCACAGTTCAGATCCCAGTTCAGTTATTAATGAGCTCCTAGTTGCAGAGCACTGCAGAAAGCCCGTGTATCTCAACCCTGTGAGCTCTCACCTCATGATTGTGGTTTTATATCTACTTGTCTCCTATTTCCAGATGAGGCTGACAAGCTGTTGAACACATTGGGGGTAAAAATTCTGAATAGCATTGGAAAAGCACATAGGACAGCCTGGCAGAATTTTTCATCTACTTATTTCTACTGTTGCTGTGTTACTATGTAGGTGCAAAACTGGAAGATGATTTACACAGACTGTGTGTTCCACCTTGATTTTTACATTTTGACCTGCAACATATCCTGTATGTGGCACCCTGAAAATGATAAGGCTCCCCAGATAATGACAGTCATCAGAAATTTCTACTTTTAGCTCGCAAGGAGAGCTGACTCTTTCTCACTTTCTCATTGCCAGTGGGCAGATGGCAAAGATTTATACTTGGTACTGGAGAAAAAGAGTTTTGTTTTTCTGTTTTGATAGAAATAATGCTGCACAGGAGTGGGACTCAAAGGAGTCAGAAGGTGAGAACCCTGCTGCTATAAGCTTGCCCTGCAGCAACCTTCTACAGGTTATCAGGAAAAGTCTTTCCTCTTTCTGTACTCATAATGTCAGAAAAGTCATCCAACAGTGTATTGTAACGTAGTCACAAGGAGCATATAACAAGGTATTTGAAAAAATAGCTGGAATAAGAACATGAGCTTCATCCTTTCTGTTTCAGTTATGTGTTACAGCATCTTCCAAAGCAGAGTAGTAGTAGATATGTCTGTGAGAGTCAGAGATGAAGTTATATGCATAATTTAGCCTCTGAAGGTTAGTATTACGAGCAGCCCGTGGGACAATGCCTGTGGCTTGAAAACAAAACAATGCAAAGTGTTTTGGGGAAGGGCAAAGCATCCCTAAGAAAAAAAAAAAAAAAGGCAAGAACATGCAGGCTGTAGACAGTGATCTTGGCTGATCAAAAAAGCTGCAGTGTTAGTGAAATATGTTGAAACAGGTAAAATTGAAAGTAACTGGTCACCAAAGTGTCAAATTAAAAGCAATGTATGGATATAATCAGCTTCAGAACAGTCCATGTGAAATTGGGAAGAAGAAATAGGCAATAAGAAATGGAGATAGGTAGTTTTTTAGTAGCTCCTGAGAATGGAAAGCATAAGGAGCATTACTGTCTTGAAGATTACTGTTGAGTCCTTTTGCAGCATTGTCTTCTAAGCTCGTTAATAAGTTAGCGATGATTTTGAAGCCATAGTTACTCTGCTGCTGAATCTTTTCTTGCATTCAGCGTTTTTCTTGTTGTATTGAAGGGGGTTGTTCAGGTGCACTTGCTCTTAAAAACAAACAAAAAAAACCCAATCCAAACAGCCATAACAAAACCAAACACAAATAAAACCCCCATGATACTGACCCCTGAATACTTTTTCCTCCAGAAACGACTTTCAGTAATTCAATTTGGATTTCTCTGCTCTTTCAGTGAAGGGCTCCTTGCATTGTATACCCTGCTGTTCATAGAAGTGGCTGTACATATGGCACGGAAGCTCAGCCAGGCTTTGAAACTGCCTGTTCTATACATGCCCAGTGGGGAATCAGGCTTCATTTATGGAAGATGTCCATAGGTCTTGGAGTTGTCCTGGCTTTCTGTGGCAGGAAAAGATGGCTAAGCACAGATGGCTAAGCTTAGAGGGAGACAGCCAGATGAGGCACTGGGTAGCAACATGCTCTGTTATTTTAGCATAGTAAGAAAAATACTGCCTTTGCTTGTTGTGAACTACCTCAGGTTTCCTTGTGAGCCTTTAACAGTCAGGAAACACAAGTGGCCCTAATTGTTTATAACTGTTGCATGAAATACACCATGCGGTAGTCAAGTGAAAGCACTGAGTAATTCACGTGAAGGAGAACCTGATCTCTAGTCTAGATGAGGGTCCTGTGATCAAGAAAGAGAAGAAATATTCTTCCAGTATAACCCTGTATGTAGTAGGCTGTCCTACACAGGTAACAAAAGTTAATTGTGACACTCCTTGTTCTGGCTTTCCTCTATGGGAAACCTGCTGATTTTCAAATTTTGTGCTGGTTCCTTTTATGTAGACTTTTCTGTCAAATGTAGCTCGCAAAGGAAACCTGAGAAAAATGCTACTCACAGCAAGCAAGCTTGAATCTTCTTTTTGGCTCTTAAATTTTAGGTCTGCAAAAGCAAGGATGAATTTTTTCTTCATCCTCAGTGAGGGCATAGGGACAAAATGAAAACATATACAATTAGTCGTTTTTTTATGACTGAAGACTGCACAGAAAAATAATGGTGCCTTCAAAAAATGGATGCTATGACATAGAGGAGCCAACTGCTTTTATTTCTGACCCCCCCCCAAGCTGCTTATACTCAAATACTACTAACACTGATGTGCTGAATCCTGTGAAATGGGAGTGGTAGACACAGTCTTCTTAAATGAAACTTCACTGCTGTCACTACTGAGTTTTCAGCAATCTCAGCAGAACCGCTGGAAATATAGAAAGGCAAGTCTGACTGGCATTTTCTCTCCTCAAAGTGATTTGCCTGGACAGATATTAAGGAAAATTGACAGCAGCATCTGAAGGGTCATTGTGTGGGAACATTTTTTTCTATGTTGTGCAGGCTTTAATCTTTCAAGTGGTTTTCACCAGGAGTTTTTCTACTGAAGTAGTTAAAAAAGTATAGCTATATGCAATACAGTTTAAGTCCCATCCGTAGCACATGGGCTGGTCCTGATGGCTTATTCTCTTCTATATTCATTGGAGTCTTGCTTCACACTGGAGTGATTCTGAGCAAGCTGAGAAAAAAGTCAAACTGAAAAGCAGCTTGCAAAGAATTTCCCTTCCATTGGAGAATTTGCAGGCAAGGCCAGAGCTCCCAGAGCTGACATGCTTGTTAGGGACTGGTGCTCCCCCAAGAGAAAACTAAAGCCAACTGTGCTCTTGAGTTGAGATTCTTACTATGGCTGTGGATTAGGCACTGTTGACCTGTCTGCAAGGCTTGCACAGAAACAGTGAGACTGTGTTGTGTGCACCCTTTCATGTATATGGGACTCTATCAGCTTTCACAGTGCTGCATAAGTTTGTGTATTGGCTTTGTAGATGAGGCCCAGAAGCAGGCAATCAATTCCTGAAGATTGAAAAGCTAATCAGAGGTAGAACACAGAATTTAACTAGCACTTTTGTCAGCTACTCTGTCATTTTTCCTAATAGGTGTTTGCAAAACTCCCAAAACATTAAAGTAACATTTACAGATGGCTGATTTGGAAGTGTAAACATCTAAATTAGCACACTTACTGTTGTGCCTACCAATGACAAACTTTTCGATATGTTTCTTTCCAGGAACACCTGTCTGGTTCTTTGTGAAAATTGCTCCAATCCGAAATGAGCAGGATAAAGTGGTTTTATTTCTTTGCACTTTCAATGACATAACGGCTTTCAAGCAGCCCATTGAGGATGATTCATGTAAAGGTTTGTCTTTTTCATAATTGTATATTTATTCTGCTGTTTTTCATTTGCCCTGGTTTTGAAAAAGCTGAAGTCCTTTAAATACTTAAAGACTTAAAGCCAAAAGATTGGATGTTAAAATAACTTCCATGAAGCCTGTAGAGGCACAGCTATGTGCAAGGAGTGGCTGCGTTGATTTCCTATGGGAGTTGGCTCTGGTCTGCACTGAAACAGGTGATTGCTAATGAGACCCCCAAGTGCTTTAGGAAGCAGAGCTTGCTTTGCAAATAGGTGCTGCAGTCTGTTTAAGATTCATTATTAATCCCCTTACCAGCACAGCCTTCAAGCAGTCACAATGATGCTTAACTACCTCTTTGGTCTCAGAGGAAATTGAAGGATATTGGGCCCTGTACAAACTGCTTATGACACCGTATGCAAAAATGGAGGTATTAGTCCTGTCTGACAATGATCTGAATAATTTAATTCTGCCTGGCTTGACATGACTTAGCATTCTTATATTAAAGTTTAGGACCAGGTTTTTTTTTTTTTTCCACATCTGTGAAAATACTCTCATAGTCTTAAGTTGAATCAGGTTCAAGCTGTCAGGTTGAGTGAAGTAGAATTGCTGTGTTTTGCTGTTAACCCTTTGCTAACTTACATCCTAGAGATCTGGAAGCAAACTCAGCTGTGAGAGAGGCATAAACTTTTACTCAGATTCAGATCTTGACAAAATTAGACCTTTTGTACCCACATGTAGAATTACAGAGACTTGTGTCTTCTGGGGTGAATAAAGACGTAAGTTCTCCTGTTGTTTGCATTTTTGTAGTATTTAATAATATTTGTAGTATTACATTAAACAGGAAACTTACTGTGAAGGTGAATTGATTTACATTTGTTCTCAAAATATTATTCTTTAAAAATGCAGTTGCTCAAAGTGGAAACACCTGTTACCATGAAAAAGGAAGTACAACCTTAACAAACATACTGTCTTCCAAGTTATGTGGGTTATTTTTTTTTCCCCTTTGAATGCTATTTTTTTTTTTGTTTTCTTACAGTGCTTTTATAAACCTAAAAAAAAAAAATGTATCTTGTTGGAAAAATTGGGTCTACAGTATTTTTTTTTTCCCTGCATAGTTGTCTTCACCGTGTCCTAATGAGGACTGACAGCAAGGATAAATCAGTGTGATGCAGTAAAGCTGGCTCTCATTTGTTTGGTGGGAGTGAAAGCCCTTACTTCATTTGTTCAGTTGGCAAGCAGGGCTTTCGTTCAGGAGTGGTAGCCATGCCTTTTTGCTTTGGTTTTGCAGAAGGTCCTTAGTTGTAGTGGTGACTTGTGCTCTTGTGAGAAGAGTTTGTCCTTCACTTTCAAAAGAGGGAGGTGCTGCAACTTTTTTGTTTTCAAGAGAAGTGTGCTGAAGAAAGAAAGCACAATTTTTTATCATTATTCTGTAAGTTCCCGTTCTAGTATCTTGAGATCATGCTGTTCTTATAGTGATCATGGTAATTCTTAGCAGTTCCATATCAAAACAAAGTAATACAAAGATTAAGCCTATTTACACGTGTGCTAACTTGCAGAAGAGTTAAGATGCTAAGCAAAATTTGTTCATGTGGCCCATGGAAAGTTGCTAAATACGTACTGAGTGTTACAGACAGAATAGAAGACCTATTCAGAGGCCACTGAGGCAGAGCTCTATACATGTTGCCTAAGTGCTGTTGGTATGTATGGAAGAGTTTGTGTACTAAATAAGTGTTGCACATCTTATATTTGAATCTCCTAAAATTGATGATGTTGTACCAGTTTCATGCCAATAGAGTTTTCTGTTGCTGTGTACACAAATCAAATGTGATATAGATGAATCACGCATTCTATTCTAAAACTTAATTTATCCCTTATGTCTTCCTCTCTTCTCTAGATTACTTCCTATAGGCTAACTTTGGGATTTTGTGTGTGTACCTGGTAGGTGATGTTATGTCAGTCATTTGATGGCTAGATGAGCAATTCCATGGAAAAGAAGAGATAATTTGCAAAACAGAATGTTATGTGTGTGACCACACAATATTAATATTAGAACTCACTATGCAACTGGATACTGTGAGGGGAAAAAAACAGATGTGGAATGTTAGACAATTCATTGTCTGCAATGAGTTCTGGGACTCATGAAGGGGAAAAATATGTTGGAAGTTCTAAAAAAAGGCAAAATTATTTTAGCTGCTTCAAAAAATCATTGCTTTTACAGACCTGAGCTTTGCAGAGAACGCATTCCTTGCACACTGTACAACATTCCATTGGAAATTTGTAGCACGTTTTTGAAGGGCAGCAATTCTCCTGGAAACATTTCAGAATAATGGCAAACAAATGAGCTCCTGATCTAAAAATGCAACACTCAGAATTTACATATTAATTGTTTTTAATTTAAGCTGAGAATTGATTGCTAAATCAATTATTTTCCCATTCTCACCTTCAGTCAACTTTCACCAACTAATCCTTTGCTGTGCTTCTACATGAAATCAGTTTGCTGTGGTTATGACTAGTTAATATCTGCTTGCAAATGCAGATGTTTTAGTATACCTGCTACCTACGTAGTTACAGAGTGGCACAGCATGAAGCATCTGAGTTCTTCAAAATCAATGCCTGTATGTCTTTGTGGAGAAAAACATTATGTTGTGCAGGAGCATGGTTAAAGAGCAGCTTATCTGTCAGCTGAGCCTGCCTAGCTACAGTGTATCTTAGCTTCCTATCACCTGCTGGCAATATCAAGCATGATTTTTCAGCTGAATGATACAGACACTCCGTAAGTGCAAAGTGTTGAGCTCTAATGACAGGTGATTGACTGGTACACAAAAATTAATAGACATCTTTTATCCAAAGGTGACTCAGAGAAGGATAGAAGGTCCCAGTACTGTTTTTCATTCTTAGTCCATTTTTTAAGATTAATAATTTCAAAGACTGGAATGATGAAACGACATTTCTAAAGTCCTGTTTAAAAAAAAAAAAAAAAAAAAAAAGTAGGCTTCTAATTGTAAGCCTCCGTTGTTTCAGGTAATTCAGTAGACACTTATTTTATGACTGCAATGGGCATTAGTTAAATTTGATTTTAAATGCAGGCACTTTAAGCATAGCTCATTCCATTTTTCATTCTAAAAATAGTGTGTCAGTGATGTTGCTGATAATTAAAAAAAAAAACAACTCCCTGTTTTCATCTTTCCCTGTACAGTTGCCCCTTTGGGGGGAAAAAAAAAAAAACAGGAAAAAATAGATTTACTTGAATAAGCAGGCAAAATCAAATAATGTCATAGCTAAATTTGGCCTGGGAAGCGATAGGTCACTTTCTTAGCAGAATTTCAGAGTATATGCAGTCAATGTGTTTTGTCTGTATATGTCTTGTTTTGATTTGAGATTTAACACACCAAGTATGCGACATTTGAGAACAGTATATAAAGTGAAATGCATCACTATGAAAACTGTAGCTTGCTCAGGTAAACAGAGTCTGCATGCAATCTAAGTAGCTAAAAAGAAACAGGTTTTGCACGTGAATGCAATAAAGGCATCTATGCTGCTGTATCAAAGTTTGGGAATTATGCTTTGGATTCTAATTTTCTTGGTTTTAATATTATTTTCTGCCCTCTGCCCCCTCCCCCCCCCCCCAAAAAAAAAAAAGGGGGGGGGGCATCAAGTTCAACATCACAGAATTATATGAGAAAATGGTTGTTGGTCTCCTAGTTACTGTAACCTCCTGTGTTTTGTAGCCATCATCAGTTATCTTCTCCTCTGCAGAAGCTTTAGTTCATTTTGCAGGTAGGCTGTCCTTTGCATTGCAAGCAGGGTACACAAAAAATAGTATTTTGATTGCCTCAATTTTATTCAGGGAAAACTCCAACCTGATGTTCCCTTTCTTATTTTTTCCCCTTTGTTTCACCTTTTTTTCCCTAATTTTTTGTTCTGTTTTTAAATATGTATTTATAGGAGCAAAGCCAGTGTTTGAAATATTTTGATTGTTATACTTTACTTTCATCTAGATAAATTGGTGTCTTAAAAAGGAAACAAATGAAAGGAAAGCAGTGAGTATATTAAGAACTTTAGTATGCTTTTCCACTCCAGATGGAAAAATAACACAATTTTACTTATGAAATTTTAAAGGGCAGGAGCATTCGGACTGCAGAGAGGTGTGATGGATGTAAGCAGGGAACTGTGACATGCAAGAAAGCAAAGGGTGGTTCCAGTGGAGGTGATAACTGCTGGAATTTGGATTTGATTGCATTTACACATCACTGTGTGATCAATAGACTTGTGGTTAAAGTAGCTTATTCTCAAGCAGGCTATGCCTTTGTGTTCGAACTCCAGGGACTGTATGAGTTACAGAAGCAACTTAATAACAAGGATTCTGTAACTGCCACAGTAAATAATGTTTGAATTTGTGATTCATCGTTATCAAATTGAAGGCATTAGTAGGTAATAAATACTTACCTGAGATAAATAAGAAATGTGTCGTGGATTCACAGAGTCACAGAGAATCAACAGCTCATGCTCATCTCAAAATTGAGGAAATTGGTTTCTTCTGCTTGAGAGGGTTGTTACATGAAGCTTAATGCCTTAAAGAAGTAAAGTCTTGATGCATGAAATATCCCAAAAGTGTGTTCTGATGTCTCATTTCTGCACAAAACAATGTTCAGGAGGCAGCTTTTGTCCTTGTTGCAGGCATCTTGGATGTTTTCAAGAGCAGCTTTTACTTAGATTTTTACACTGAAATAGTGAAATTCTGAAATAGCATCAAGTAATGTGGGACAACTGGAGTTGGTCTTCATCCTTTTGAAGCTGAAGACATTCTGATTGTTTTGCTGAAAACATCATGCAGGGATGAACTGAGAAAGGAAACCAATCAGCTATGAAAATAGATTAAAATCAAAGAGAAGAAAGAAGCACAGGCAAGCGCAACCAGGGGTTGACATCCAGCTTTATGTTTTGTTCCCAAATTCTAAGCTGTCTTCTCTAAAACAGTGTAAGTTCTTGCCTGTTTGAGGAATCTGTATACCTACAGGAGAATTGCATAGAGTCATTGGATTTCAATTTAATTTTTGCATTCTCTGTTTCTAGAAGAAAACAATGGATGTAGAGATCTCACAACTAACTGCTTGTGCTGAAAGAGAACTTGTAATCCATATCATCTGGACCCCCTTTCCAGGCAGTACTAACATCATTTTGTTCCTACACCACTCTTGAACTTTCCTTGTCTTGAAAAGTTCAATTTTCTTCCTGAGACCAGCTCTGTGGCACATAGAATATAACGCTTATATTCTGTTTTGTGCCTGAAGTCCATTATTTCACTTGTCTTCATTGGATAAATGTCTGACTTGTAGACTACATCCGTCTTTAGTCTTCTAAAGGACAAATTTTAATACATTCAATAGGCACTGCTGTCTTTTTGAGAAGTGTTAGAGAAGTTATCATTTGATAGGATTAGTACTGGCTTTCCATCTCCTTTTAGTTTTTTCTCCTGTGTTATAATGTGTAAATTCAGTATAATTATGTTTCCTTTCTCAGAAAAAAAAAGTAATACAAGAAATTGTCCTGTCCTAAAAATGAGATTCACACACCTGAGACAAAGGCACAGAGATTCAGTGAATATTTTGACATGTTTAATTATACTTCCTATGTAGTGTACCCAGTGTGTGGAGAGGGTGTATAAGTGAATATATTTCAAACCTCCCACTTTCAGGTCAGCGCTGGTTCAAAGAAACCCACTAACCTAAGCATCCCTGCCTACTGAAATAGTCTCTTGCTTGTATGGTTACATCATTTTCAGGTCAGTGTTTGACGTATATGTTAACAGATCTCATGTTTGTGGAACAGCTCATTTGAACACCAGTTAGGCCCCCACAAATGATATTTGCAACATGCAGGGCAGAGTAGGTGCCTATAGGAGATGCTGAGACAGGACCATGTCAAGTTCTATCACTGCCTTTCAAGTGTAGATGGCTTTTGGGAAGATGGAAGATGCATGAAAGTGCTCAGCATTCATAGCCACATTCATGACTGCAGAGTTGTCTGGTAGTGAGGTATTTTTCTTCCTCCCTCTCAGTGTTTCTGTTGAAATAGCCTTTATTGGAAGACTTGCCGATGGGGAGGGGGGGAAGGGCTCTCGAAGTTCATCTGCTGTTTTTTAATCAAATTTTGATTCTTTCAAGAAAGCGGGTGATCAGCTAGCAAAAGAGACTGTCTACTGTAGTTGACTTTAAAACATTGCACGTCTGGTTAGGGAGCAGAGTCAGCTCCCACATTAAACTGGAAGTCGGCTCGACTGGGTCAGCGGCGTGACGGGGCCTCGACTTCAGCACCACGGACAGCGCCAGGATGGGGCTGGCGCCGCTGCCTCGCTGGTCCTACCGGCCTGGAAACGTGGTTTGGAGCTGGCAGCCTCTTGAGACAAACCTTGTCAGTCTGAATTTATACAAGTGAAAGTCTACCCATCCCTCCCTGGCCTTGTGAAACAGGAGGAAAATTTAGTAGTGCAACATAAGCGTTTTTTGGAAAGGTAAAGCTTGTGTCGGTGTAAATTGCTGTAGCTGTGTTGGCTTCACAAACTCTGGTTTGATTAATAGCAGCCAAAGATAGGTCATTTTGATTGGTTACTCCCACCTAATCCATTCATTTAACTTCCACTGTCTTTAATGAAAACATAGTAAGGCATTTATGTCTCAGCATGTGAACTTTGGTTTGTTTTTTTCACATATAATGGAGAAAGAATGCTCTTTATTTATATTAAAAAAAAACAAAACAAAACAAAAAAACAAAAAACCCACAGTATATGGAAATGTGTTGTGAAAAACAAAGTGTTCTTGGGTCAGTTTTGCAACAGGTACAGATTAACCTCTGTTAAAGTTCTGTCATGTTGATTTGTTTCTTCAAGAAATACTGCTCTATAGTAGTTAAACTCACATGAATTTACCAGGAAAGATCTAGCTTACTGGGTGGAAATTACGCAACCTACGTGTTGCTGAATATTCCCAGGAAGAATTTACTAATTCTGATCAAGTTTATTAAATTGTGCCAGGCTTCCTTTAAAGTGTGCTTTGGGGCATAAGAAAATGTTCACTTTTATTCTTGTTTCTAGAAAGGTATTTCTAAATTTGGTTCTTCCCTTCAATAAATGCATTGTTTTGTGTATTCTTACAGACCAATTTTTTTCAGCTCTGATCTGGAAGACTTTGTTCAATAGCCAGTTCAGACAATTTATTTATTTTTTTGTGCTTACCCATCAAGTTGACAAATATGTTCTTGCAAGTTCCATCAGGGTGATGGATGAAGGTGACATCAGGGTGAGATGTCAAACAAGGCTAATGTTCTAAGTAGTGGACAGTATTTTAACTACTCATTTTCCTTTACTCGTTATGGATAACTTGCAGCCTAAATTCTAGACTAGTCTTTAAAAACTGTCACTGCTAATAGCGTCATTTCTGTTGGTGCTGAAATTATAATGTAAAGGGAAATTTTTCCAGAAGCAAGATTTCATTAAGAACTGAGTCTGCAAAGTGCTGAGCACCCTCAGTTGGAGTAGGAGGTGAGACTGCTCAACAGTTTGCAGGTGGTGCTAGCATTTTTCAAGACCAAATGCACTGATACTTTGCTTTCAGACTGCCAAAAATACTCAGACATGTACTCTGCCTGACTTTTTCTGTTATGTCAAAGTATGTTCATAAAGGTTATAGTCAAAGCTAGCTCGTGTCTGTCACTCAAAACTTTCTATTTTGAAGGCTATTTGAAATTACTGCAAAAAATATTCTGAATTAAAATTCAGCGTGACCTATCTGCCAGAATTTGTTAAATGTTTTATTACAGTTTGAGAAATTCTATTTGTATATTTTTCTCTTTTGTTTAGAGGGGATAAAATTAATGATTTTGTTTTATTTGCTCTGCTTTTTCTTACTTATGTGCTTTTCTCTGCTTATTCCAGAACTGAGGCCAGATTCATTTCCGTTACAGGCAGCTCTGGCTTTCACTGTGCCTGATTTTAGTCCTACATCTTTATTAGTCTGGGCCGTCATCTTCAGGGCTGTGAGATCCAAATCTGACCATTAGGTTTAATAGAAGATTATTGTACAGTGCACATTTATCTTTACAAAAGATGTGGTTTGTGTAATGCACTCTTGTAGAACCCGTAACACAAAGCTACTGCAGTTGTTACTTAACTTGTTACTTAACCAACCTGCTGCCTTTACTATGAGTTGCTTTTTTCTGACACATGGTTAAATTATACTCCCTTGTAGTCAGCATTAATACAATTTGCTCTGTTTTTCTTTTGACTTATATTTTTTTTTAATAATGAGAAACGTTATGGGGTATGCTTCCAATTTTTTGTTTTGTAATGTATATGATGTTGCATGTTTTGCTTTTTTTTTTTGAGGTTGGGGAAAGTTTGCTCGCTTGACCCGTGCCCTCACAAGCAGCCGAGGAGTGCTGCAGCAGCTTGCTCCAAGCGTGCAGAAAGGAGAGAATGTTCACAAGCACTCACGTCTTGCTGAGGTAACATTTCCTTTTCACAAGAAACAGTAAAGAAATGTACGTAGCCTTTTTGGATATGCTGTCTCTGCATGAGCTATTCAATCTGTCTCCTTTGCCCTGTGATTCTGAAACCAGGTGGCAGGTACAGGAGCTCAGAAGAATATTGTGTGCTGTGAAATGTCTACTTTAGTAGTAGAATGGAAACTGGTGTTCAGAAGACTTAATGCAACCTAACTGCAATTTTGGCTTCCATATCTCAGCAAAATCTTACAATGGCATTATTATTGAAATAAGTATGTTTTCCTTATTTTTCTTTCTTCTCTCAAGATCTCTTGAAGATCTCACAAATCTAGTTGGATCTTGGACTATTTGCTTGTTTAAAACTGAGGTGAGATAAACTACAGCTAGTGCAGAAAGAAATTCCAGAGAATCATTGGCACAGTTCTTTGCATCCATTTATGTCTAATTTTCTTTTAGTGGGATGCTGGTGAGTTTTAAAACTGGTTAAAATGGGCAGAACATCTGTAAGATGCCACCACAAGCAGTACTTCAGATAGTAGAAAAGTGAAAATGTGATTAAAGTAGATTCTTTCAAAGTTTTGAGAAAAGACCTATGCAGAGGCTTCATGAAGTATGAGGGTTTTAGGGCTTTCGCCACGAGGGGGAGAGACTGAGCTAAGTTTCCTGTTGTTGTCTCCAGGACCAGCAGCAGGGTCTCCCCGGTGTAAAAACAGCTTGGGGAAGATCTTGATGTGGTGTTCATGACAGTATGGCCAATGTAACATGGTACTCCTGTATCAGCCTGTTGCTGTCAGTGCCATGGCAGCAGCCATGATTCTTGACAGTAATTCTTAATCTTTGTTTGTAGCTGGAGGTGTAAACCATTGATGAGCTCCATGAGTCTCCCAGTGTTTGTTTTCTTCCACTTATGTTTTAGTTTCCTTGCAAAGTAGACATTTCCTTAGCCAAGCCTGCATTTTTATCACATGACCATAAAATTTCCACAAACAGGAGCTTACCTATTTTGTATTTAATGTAGGTGCTCTCCAGAATGGAGGACTGATTTTTTGTTATGAGCATTTTTGTAGATGAGATGACACTAGCAGAGGGAAGGGTCAGAAATTCACATGGATGCTATACTTTAGGAATGCTGTGTGATTATCACATTCACACCCTGAAATTGCTTTAGTGTCTTAAAGTGGGGATGTTCTCCCAGATAATATAAGTCAAGACTTACTACTAAATAATCCTTCCTTCTCTTCAGATGTTTACTCTTGAGTTTTACTTCACACTAAAATTAAGGCAGTGGAATGCAAGGTAGAAAATCTGAAGTAGCTCGGTTTGGCTCTTTGAACCTCAGTCTCTAGACTTACATGGCTACGTTACCAAAACATATTGTTGGCTGATAACTTGAAAAAGACTTCTCAAGTATTCTAACTGGCACAGTAAGTTGATTCATTACAAATAATTAAGGGCAAGTGTATAGTTTATATGTCTGAAATGAGTTTCTTTAATTGCTGGCTGAATATTGCAGTCATTATTTTAAAAAGAACATTATCCTCAACTGTAATGTAGGTGCCTTGTTGTACATCAGCTGTAATTCCATCTAAGTCAATAGAATGACACTAGAGAAAAGCAGAGTGCATATAATCACACTGAGGTGCCCACTTTTTATCCTTAGAAGACATGAGCTGTCAGGCTTCTTATTCTAGAAGGATCTCCTAATAATATTTAAGATAGGATCTCTTAACTGTTCCCCATTGTATTTTCAAATGACTTATTTTTTTCTTCATTTCTGCAGGAGCCTATTTGAAATTTTAAGCTCAAATTAGAGTACAGCCTATTTCTTTTTCTGCTTGCTGTGGCATTTCATATCCATCTTGTTTGCGCAAGAAATCTCTTCATTTATTATTAGTGTTGCTCTCAGCTTTTCAAAAGCTGAGGAGCTGGTTGTGTCCTAGTAGCTGAATGGGGCAAGGTGTTGTACAAACACAAATAACAGTCCTGCCACAAAGGCTTAGAATTTGTTATTGTTTATGATTAATTGGCTTCAGAAGGCTGTTAGTGAAAAACCACTTTGTTTTATCCACAGGCTGTGGATAATACAAGCAGTGAGCGTTAAGCTTTAGTCTCTGACTTTTGCCTGAGTGTAGATTTGTCTAGCCTGACTTTTCTAATAGCAATCATGTAAAAACTTTAAATTCATTATGCAATTAATGCAGGGATGTTAGGTAACTCTAAGCACACTTTGCAATGTGAGTACAAAGTAGTTGAAACGGTTCTGTGGTTTTATTACTAAAGAACTAATTGTAGGAACCATCCTTCCTGGTCACTGCAAAGTTCACTGTCTTCTGCACCCGTGGTATTGGCTGATGCATTCTGTACATTTACCAGGCAGCTTGGGGTAAACAAGAGCATGTCATAATTTAAAAAATGAAATAGTTATGAGGCATACAAGCAGAAAAATTATAATGGTGCTTAGCAACATTGTCTAACAAAGGACCTTCTGCCATTTTTATTTTTTATTTTTTATTTTTTTTGGTAAATTTTGTTTACTAGGGACTTATAACTGCCATTAAAATATACATTAAGTTGAGATTTAGCAACTAGCTCTTGGCTCGAGAGTAATTTGTGTAGGTGCTTAGGAGAACAAAAGGGAGAATGAGAGAGAGCAAATACACTGTTGTAAACACAAAAGGGGGGAAATTAAGTTGAAAATGAATGTGGATTTTTCCCAAGTTATTCATTCTTAGAAATAAATCATTTTAAACACTTGCTAATGCACTTTTATTAGTCCTGATTAGTGATATATTCACCATTTTTAAAGAAGTCTAGAATAAATCACTTTTATTCTGTTTAAAACGAAAACAAAATCCAAAACACAGCCTTTTGAAACTCATAGTGAAATTCTTCCTTTCTGCTCCTGAAACAATATTCTTTGGCTTTAAAGAGCGATTAAAACATCATGCATCATTACCACAAATAATAAATGTGGATAATAAGACTGTAGTTGCTGATGAATCAGAAGTAATTGGAATACTTCCAGTAATAACTTTCTGAAATAAGTATTTCTTTTACTGAGGTACAATGATGTAAATGGAGAAAAGTCTTTCAAAACCAGAGCTGTTTCAGTTATTTATAAAATGATAGTAAAATGAGCAGTGCACATGGGTGAAAGCTTGGCGTGTTGGTTTATGTAGTTGTAGTTCTTCATAATTGCTCTCATATTTATCTTGTGATTTTTTTTTTTTTTTTTTTCTTGAGAAGATGAAGTATCTGTACAAACAGTTTGTATCTACTTAGTTTGTGTGGGTGGGTAATAATGCATGTCTGCTTCAGCAAATACTGCGTTTCAGGTTGGCACTGTTCTCCTCGGAGACTGGAGTACCGTAAAAGCACCTTGGTGTAGGGCAGCATGTACTTCTCTTTACATCTTCCTGGCTTTGCTATATAGCATAGAGAGTGGGTTTATAGCTCTCTTCTCCAGACAACCGTGCAGTGGTGTGCGTCTCTGGAAGGATGGTGAGCAAATCACAGAATCACAGAATTGTAGGGGTTGGAAGGGACCTCCAGAGATCATAGAGTCCAACCCCCATAGACCATGCATGACGCTTAGCATGACAGTGGAGAACTCTGGCAATTCTGGCAAGGTATTAGAGTGGTTTTATAAGGTCTATATGTTAGTGGTGTAGTGAGGGGGAGCCAGGAGTGGAATTTGTCACCCTAACCTACCTAAACAGAAGGCTGGAGATATCCCAGGTGTGCTGCAAGTGGCCTTCTCCACCTTGCAAGTGATTGGCATCTCTTTGTCATTCCCTGATGCCCATCTCCTGCTCTCTCCTTGCTCTTTTCTTTTAGATTCGCATGCAAACTTCTGGTGCTCATGCTTCTGTTGGAGACTGGGTGAAGCCATGACTCAATGTTCATTTTAATTAGCTATTGGGAGAGAGTGGAAATTGAAAAGGTTTATTAATAAATCTAACCATTCAGATAGTTTAGATTCTGTTTCCTTTCTAAATAAAAGTGGAAGAAGACATTGATGCTTTCATTTTTCTGCACTGTAGCCCTTTGGGTTTCAGACAAGCTAGTAGAGAGTGCTTTGTACTTGTGATGACATTTTAAAACACTAAAGCAGCGAAGTTGTTTGTTTTCTTAATGATTTGAAATGAGAAGTCTGTTTTTCTCTGCATTCAGTTAAGTTTTACATCCATTCAGTTCCACTGGATTTACTGGTATTCTTTGTGATTTACAGCAAAATAACTGACTCCATAATTTAGCCTCTTCTTTATTGCCAGAGGCTTTTCTCGCCATGGCTCCCATTATTTAGGTATATGGCAATACATTAGTAGATTTTCCAATAACTTCAGCTTGGAGGATGCAAAATTTGCACAAGTTCTTGGAGGGCAAAGAGACCAGAAGTGTCCAAAATGGAGTGTATTATACAATTGTCAGGCTAGAATTTAGATATGTAAATTTAACAAACAGTCTAAAAATAAAGTGCATTTTTCTGTGTTATATGGTTGAAGTTCCTGTACTGAGTGGAATCGTTATCAAAATGCTTGATGTTTTTCAAATAGTATTTAGGCTAAAAAAAAAACAAATAGTGCTAGGAATTATCTGATGACCAAAGAAGAAATCACGTTTCACCCTCCATATATAAAGGGTGAAAAATATCTTCCCATGCTAGCTAGATCTTGGCGTTAGGACTAAAATCCAGTTAGCCATCTGCAGAATGTCACTGTATGATGAAAAGTGCTTGGTTTGCTGATTAATTATTTCAGCGAGTGAATATTGGCCAGTGGACCATATTTCAGGCTTGGGATCTGCTGTGAGAGCTGCTGTGAGAGCTGCTGTTTGTGCTAAGCCTTGCTGAAACCAGTAGTAGCAGAGTGCTTTCCAACTGATCCAGGTACAGTTGCAATATTCAAAAGGGAATGCAGGAGGTATTTGCAGTACTGATGTTAGGCCTGAACTTTTGTCAAGAAAAGACCTTCAAACATTTGTAGCTGGGCCTGCAAACAAGTTGTGTAGGAAATGCATGCCATGCATACACATTACCAGGTCAGTACACAACATCTTCCAGTCAGTGCTAGGGACTTCTGGGAACTGTGTTGGCCATTGCCTCCTATAGAGAAGAGACTTCTTTAGTCTTGTGCTTACTTTAGCTTTGTCACAGCACAAGCCAACAATTTTTATTGTGGCAAACCTGGGTGAAACAGGTTTAGGAGTGGCATGGCACTTAATACTTTAAGGGCCTTGTTGGGGTCCTGGTTTGGTCTGCAAGGATCCTACTTTTAGAGGGAAATGTTCTATTCCCCTGCTTGCTGTCATTCTAGAAACTCAGTGAAACAAACTTCATTAGGTTTTCAGTTTTTTCTTATAGTGTTGATGCCCTTGTGCTAACCAGCAGGTCTCCTGAGCAGGTCTCCTGAGCAGGTCATGCTATTTCTCTTCTGGAAAACACAATGTGCTTAAGGTCAGCAGGCTTGTTTTTTTTGCCTTTCAGCTCTCATAGTCATTTAAACATGTGCAAGGGACTGTGATCTGACAGTGTCTGACCTCTGTGGTGCACAAGAGTAACTGATTATGTGAGGATGTAAGGTTCAGAGCAGCAGGGAACTTGATCTGAGATTGTTTTGTCCAGTTGTTTTCTTTTTGTCTTTTTTTGGATTAATCTATTGAGAAGAAAAAAACAAAACAAAAACCCACTAGTTAACAAAGAAGAATAATAAGAAGTACCCAGAAAGCCTGCAGATAAAAATCCATGTCCAAAAAATTGATGTTAACAAAGCTGAGATAAGGAGCATGAATGGAAGACATCCTTTCTATTCTAGATATGCTGTCTGATCTTTTCCCAGAGTGGGTAGCCTGTTGCTCTGAACTATGTTGTAAATAAATGTGAAAAAGGAACCATGCTTAGAAATAGAAATAGAAACCATGCTCTCCCAGGTTCTGAGTCTGGCACTAAGAAACACATCTCGCTTGCTCAAGTTTCCACTTCCTTTCTGTTTTTACCTATAATTCATCCTGTATAAATTTTATTTTAAAATATCACTAGTTCAGGTTTTTTTTTTTTTTTTTTTTTGAGTCAGGTCACTCACCTTGGTTCCACCCTGATGTATAACCACAGATATAAACAGGTGTATTCTTGTTAACAGGTATGAGGAAATTTAGTTCCTAAGACATTGTCATGGTTTTCCATAGGTATTGCATAATGTAAAAGCATGATTGTATTCTTTTTGTACTACTGTGCAGAATGGGAAAGATTTTAATTATGCAGAACACTTGAACATGTGCTCAACCTCAAGTTGCTGACAGATCATCTTTTGCTGTAGTGCTTTTCTGAATTCAGACCTAACTGTATTTGAACTCAACTGTTCACCATCAGATATGGAAGATATTGACCTTTTCTCCCTGAAACGTTAAAGGTTGAAATGAGTTTATTGAAGCTAATAATAATAATTCATGGACTTCAGTCCTGTGCAGCACACAGGAACAGAGACTTTACACATTCATGATCGTCGTACAGAACTCGATTTCAGACACAGTATAGTGAAGAGTAAAGCAAGATAGCATTTAGAAGCAGTGTCCAGGTGCTGTATTGATTGATTTGCAACTGCCTTCCTTCCCATCATTTATAAGTCTGGTCTGTTCAGACTGTGGAAGGTGCATTCTCTTCTCTGCATGTCTTGCAGGCTCAACACATTAGTTGTAGTAAAAAATAATGACATTGAAAATAAGAAAACTGATCTTTGGTTGCTACTGTGTTTTTTTGTTTAGCAGAATACTTTTTCTGACTTACAATTTGATAATGTTAGAAGAGGTTAGTGGGCATGTCTTTTTATCAACTGAGCTCAAGACTCTACGATGTTAATATTAAAAAAAAATTAATGTTTCTTTTTTCTCCTAAAATCTTTGTCACTATAGGTACTGCAGCTGGGCTCCGAAATTCTCCCACAGTACAAACAAGAAGCACCAAAGACTCCACCACATATAATTTTGCATTATTGTGTTTTCAAGACTACCTGGGACTGGATCATCTTGATTTTAACCTTCTACACGGCTATTTTGGTCCCTTATAATGTCTCCTTTAAAACCAAGCAGAACAATGTGGCATGGCTAGTAGTGGACAGCATTGTAGATGTCATTTTTTTGGTAGACATTGTACTTAATTTCCACACCACGTTTGTGGGACCAGCAGGAGAGGTGATCTCTGACCCAAAGCTGATTCGCATGAATTACTTGAAGACCTGGTTTGTGATTGACCTGCTCTCATGCTTGCCATATGATGTGATCAATGCATTTGAGAACGTTGATGAGGTCAGTAATTCCACTTTCACCCCTTAATTATTACTTTGTATTTGGGTGCGGGGAAGGGAGAAGAAATAAATGACTACTTTTGAATATATTGGGTTATTGTTCCTGTGTCTCCAGTAGCTGCCCTCAGTGCATGTAGAAGTTTGCTGATGAGCCTTCTCTGGAAGGATCCATCTTTAATTGCACTGCCAGAAGCTGAGGTTTTGGTGTCAGAAATCCATATTTACTTTCTTTCATTGTCGAAGTTCAGGAGGACAAGGCAGAAGCAGACAGCTTTTGTGTAAAGCTCTGAGAGAAACTGCTTAATCTGACTTACAATAAATAGCTTGAAGTAGTGTGTAAAGATGGCTTATTAGGGTAGGATTCTCTTCCTTTCACTGATAACTGAGCAGGGTATGTCTACTAGGGGCAATTCTTCATGTGAACAATTCCCTTTTCTCAGCTGCTTTCATTGTGATGTGGCAGGTGGTGAGTGGCTGAATCTTACCCCACCAGATAGTATTGTATGGATGCCCAGTGATGCATGCACCATTGGCAACAGTTGTAGAGGAAGGTAAAACACTTGAAGATGCTGTTTGATAATTCCATAATTACAAGAAAAGGCAGGGAGAAATCTAGAAATGTAAGCTCCTCGATTCTTTAATATTTCTTTAGGAACCAGTCACAAGCCAGCAGAAGAGCTAACATTCAGGCTACTCTGGTACTGCTTATTTTCCTACTGGCTCAAGCTAACAAGAAAATATTACTCAAATATGAAAAAGTAAAAAAACCAAGTTTCATGCCTAACTAGATCAGAGAGTTCTTGAATGGTTATCAAAATTTTAAGAACTGGGCTGCAAGAGTCATCTTTAACTATACCTTATAAAATCTATCACAAAATAATTATGTCTGTATTTATCTGTGGCATACATAAGAGTTTCATCTGTGCTTAGTATTTAAAATTTAGTGTGTAATATTTAATTTTTATGAGTTCCTTTGAAATACATGTTATAAAGGACAAACTAGCTATTAAAAGAAAATTATATCCAATTAAATATCTGGGTAAAATCGTAAAACTGCAATACTTTTGTGAAAATACACTAACTGGCTTATCTAATTTAAAGTATTTTTCCTTTTGAACTTAGGTTTGGTAGGCAAACTATTGGTATATAAATATTTGATATTTAATTCCCTAGAGAAGTTTTCATTTTATATAGAGCTACAGATGGAAATAACACAAATAAGATGATGCAAAAAGCCTTGTGAGACCTGACCTGAGGTATTTGTTTGTTTAAAATTCCTGTTCAGGGCTTTCATGTGTTAATTTATTGTAGTATTGATAAAGCATTGGAAGGAGAGCCCACAAGTATTTCTGTTGTTGAAAGATTTAAAAAAACAACAAAAAAAACTTTTCTCATCCTCTGCAAATAGTAACAATCTGCTAATGATTTTTGCTGGAGGAACATTTCATATCTGTAGGCTGGTGATATGACCCACAGAACATCCCTGGGGGAAATGTCTGTAGCAGAGGTCGTCACAGCCTTGGACTGAGTGCGGACATAGACATGCACAGACTCAGGGCAACAGTTACTGAGAAGTTGTTACCCAGGTTGGGATTTCTCCAGTTTCTTTGTTTGGATGTTGCGTTCTAATGATGAGATGATTGGTACTTGAGCTTTCCTGTGTCTCTTCAACAGTGTTAATCAGTATAAACAGCAGTACTTCTAGTTACTTTAGCCATCATGCCCAAGGAAAAAACTTTCTCTTGATGCTGTCCTTTCAAGACTGTTCATCTGTATTTTCCCTAGTGGGTTCTGACATTTAACTGATATAAATCATTGTAAGGTCACTGGAGAGGAGCCTCTGCTGGTGTAAATTGGTGCTCTTCTGTGAAGGGCTCACAGACTGGTTTATGGGACCTGAGGGGCTTTGCCAGCAATGTCAGCAGAATAATGCTGTGCACTTCAGGTGGAGATTTGGGACAGTATATGTTAATTGTCGTTTCATGAACTGCCTGTGGGGAAAAAGATAACCTTTTATTGAAAGAAAAAAAGTCACATTCAAGGAGTCTTTGAAATTTAAAGGTCTTGCTTTGTATATTCTGTATTGTGAAGAGTATTCCCTTGTGGACCAGCTCCCTTTCTTTCAAACGTACTGGTTTAGATTTTACTTGCCTCCCACCCCAGTTCACACACCATGTTACTTAACTGTTGGAGTAAGTCAGCTGCAGGGCTTTGCTGCTCACATTTTAAGTGTCCAGACTGGGTCGATACACGTTTTACTTTGGCTTAGCTGTAAGTAATTCCTTGAGAATGGAGACAGTAGGTGGCCATGGCTACTGGGAGGGCTTTTTTGTCCATCTGACAAATACATTAAAAAACACCCAAAAAACTGTCAGAGAGAACATGATGTTCAGTGACAGCAGTGGCTGTAAAATGAGATGAAGACTATAAGTTGTTATGTTAATGTTTCTGTATTTTCCACATGTGATAGTAAAGGGAGACTGAGAGCTTAAATCTCACTGTTTTTCTGCCTGCTATCATTCTCCATTAGCAGAAACTGAGGACACCGAGGGGACCATGGAGGAACTAACTTGACAGGTTGACTTGTTTCTAAGAGTGATATAATTGTTGTGAAAGAAACATTTTTTTGCAGTGTACACAGGGCCTGAAGCTGGTGAAGTTAAAAGCAGTGTAGATAGGATAGTGAGTCTCTTGGCTCTTTGGGTAACTTTGGGACTGTCTCAACACTTGGCCCTCATTACATCAGCAGTGAAGCTGGTTTTGTCTTCAAGATGTTCCAACAATGTAAGATTAATTATAACAGATGAAACTAGAACTGATAAATATTTTTGACAAGACATACTCATTTAAAAAGAATTTGGATTGATTTTCTTCCCCGTTTTCGAGCAACTTTTTGTTTGCCAACTTACTTCATTATTCTATTATAAAATGGAAAAAATATTATACAATGGAAAAAATACTGTCTAGAAACAAAACTGTGACTTCTGTGTTTTTTAGCCTATTTCAAAATTTCTTGTGTTTATTACAATTTGGAACATTAGTATGTTTTTCAATCCACATTTTAAAAAATATAATTGAAATTCTGATTTCCTCTTTGTACTGTTGAGAATTTTTTTTTTTTTTTCTGATTTCCTCTTTGTACTGTTGAGAATTTTTTTTGTCCATAAAAATACTTTGAATTCATTAACTATTAATCAATACAGCTATTAATAACTACAATTAATACAAGAGGAACTTAAGTATGAATAAATACATTCTACAGATGGAAGAGGGAAAAAAATGAATGTATTTGTCCAAGGCCCTGGAATTAGATATGAGAATATCTGAAATTTCTGATCTCAAGAGTGATGCTGAAGGAGAAAGAGTGCAGCATCTCAGAGATTATAGACATGAACAGAATGCAAATGAGAAATGAGAATAGATTTAGAGGAATTTCCATTGGTACTGAAGTGAAAGAAAAGGTATAAATATTTCTCCTGGTTTTTCTACATGGCAACCTGGTCATACTGTTAAGTAGAAATTACTTTCATGACCCGATCTAGAACTTAATCTGTTGATTGATGAAGCAGCATAATGCTAGGATTAATCTTAGTACTGTTAAGACAATATGCTGCAGTATGGACTGAGTCAAAAAGAATACACTGGTCTAAAATTTACACAGCCCTTAAGACCTACCACGTTAGTATCTTTTGAATTTGAATAATCACAATACTATTTGTCAGTGATCCTTTATAGTAATTAGTATTATGCCTCAGTTAAGGAAATATCACCAACTTTGAGGGGTAACGTTACCTCTTTCTGTTCAGTAAATTTAATAAAAAAGCAGACTTAAAGTAGCTTTTTTCCAAGAACGATGCAATCTAAGACCTTGTATTCCAAAGCAAGTTGAATCATATTTTTGCAGTGTCAGCTCAAGCAATTTTATACTGTGTTTTTTATCCATAATCCCATAAGATATAATTTATGTTGGGAACAGTTTGACTTATTACATGTGACACTGTTGTGAGATTTCATGTTTGGAGTGGAATCCAGTCATGTCAGCATTGTATAAATCTCTGAAATAGCAGTTCTTACTGTAGGCTCCCTGTATATATTTGAGTGAAACACTGTGATCAGTTATTGGCTGATACTGAACTGAGAACCGTATATAATTCTTAGTAGTTGAGATAAATAAATGCATACTGAAAGATCATCAGGAAAGATGTATTCAATATCAACGATCTAGGGTTCACTTAAGTGGATCAATAAGAGAGAAGCTAGCATTTAGACAGAGCACACATATAACTTTCAAAGGATGAAATGTATGATGATTTAAAAAAAATAAAAGGCCCAGTAAAAAAAACCACAATACAGAAGTAATCAAAATAAATTAAGCTGTTTAGTACTAAGGGAGCTTGGTGCAACTTGAAAGTGCAGTGAGTTGTATGTGGATAAAATGAATGCATTGCTGGTCAGGTTTTTGGCAAATGCAAGGCAGTACTTTTGCAATAGATTAATTTAAATCATATTAGTGAAATAATCTCTCCTGCTAACACAAATGAGCTATCTAGGAATTACTGAAGTAGCTAAACCAAAAAGCATACAAATTCTCTAGATGTGTTTTACAATAAAGGCAATAAATGTAAATGACCATGGTATTTATAGTTTTATAAAACAAACAGGGGATCATAGATATTTTTATTAGATGAATTGTGCAAACTGGAAAATATACTTTTTAAAGTCTTCTAAATGGCAGACAGCTATATAATTTAATATCCATTTGAAAGTTCTTGTAGTTCGTCTCTCTTATTTGGGTCTGTCTAATTAGTTTTGTATGTGAGTCAAGTCTATTGACAAATCTGGTAACGAATGAATGTTTTTATGTGGCTGATTAAAACTAAAGCAGTCATAACCTACTTTCTTCATAGCGTCTGTAACAAAGCAGCTAAATACCAAAGTAAGATCCAAGCACAGTAGAAATGTTGTTAAATATTTCTTGGATGTGTTGACGGAAGATGGGAA